TTTGGTTACACTGCATTAAAGATACAAAATAACAGTTGAAATTTTATTAAAATAATATAATTAATAATTTTTTAGTGTTATTCGCGCATCGCGCGAGTTCTAACACTAGTATTGTTTAACAAATAAGGAGCAGGCCCTTGCACAATATTTTAGCCGGTTTTGATTGTATAATTAATTAACACACATTCGTGAATATTTGAAACAGCAATATGTTATTCGCATTTGCTGGAATTCAAACGTTATCGATATCATTTCATGAAACATTAAAATATATAAGCAATGGATGAAACTAGATAGAGCTTTTTCTGTCGTTATTGTTTCATAAATTTATTTGCAACCTTGACACGTTCTGCTTGATTACAAACCATTTGTTTTTTGTGGTTCGTTTTGAAAGAATTAATTTTTGCTTCATCTTTTTGGAAAGGAAATATGGATGTTTGAATTGCTTGGGGAATATTATTAGCTTTAAGTACTTCTTATTTGGCAGAAATGATGTTGTGTTATTTGGAAAAAAATGTATAATTACTACGAAGCTACTCCTAGTACATATTTTTAGATGTCACTATATTTTAATGAATTTTCATAAATTTGATATTTATGCTCAAAATCACTTTACTGATATTTCGGAGAAAGTCAGTGACTACATATGAACTTAACTCTCCTTTTATCTTTGAATTTTTTAATTGCTTTAATTTTTTTTTTTCTGTATGTGGTTTTTACTTTGCGTGTGATGCTAGTTAATTAAGAAGTTTGTGCCATCACAATGTATGTCTTTTTTAAACCCCAAAAAGTATGCAATGACCATCTTCGTAATTACAAAAAGAAAAGTTGGTGTCAGGTACTCTCGAGATTTGGAATCACACATTTATTTGATTAACAGCCAGATTTACTAAGTTGAAAAATGAATGTGTCAGGGACAAACACATGAAATCCATCAGTTTCTATACACTTGGAAACAAACAAAATTTTAAAATTTTACAGAAAACTGGACAACCTATTTCAATGTTTTAGCTGGCTTTATTTGTACTGTATATGACACTTTCTCTGATACATTTAAAAAACACATGACATTCTGAAGCCAAGATTAACAAGATTGAGTGAGTCCATGATGGGTGGTTTTTGTATAGCAGGAGTATAGGATGTTTATTAGTTGCTGGTGCTACTAGGGAGTTTTACGTCCATACCTCAGAATTTTCTTTTTATCTCACAGTTTTACTTGGTAATAAAATTCCATCTAATTACCCCAAAAAAAAAAAAAAAACCATGACATTCCACTAAAGACCAAGGAAGTAACAAAAAATTATTTTCAGGAGCATCAATGCTATTCTTTGTTTTTATTTTTATTTTCTTAATCAAAGTTCTATTATTGTGATGGTGGAGTCAGGCATAATAACCATATGTATATATCAAAAATAATAATTATACGAATAAAGACCAACTTCGATTTGTTTTATTTTGCGCAAAAAATATGATTTTTTTTTCGCGACCGGCTCGGTTGGTAATTGTACCTAAAAGTTTATTGTTCAAGAAATAGACCAACTTCGATATGTTTTATATTTTAAATAAATTAAAATTAATATTAAAAAATTGACCGAAATCGGTGGTCGTTTTTTGGTCAACTCATTTTACAAAAAATCGACAGATTTCGCTCGGTAATTTCATTATTTTAATAAAATCGATCAAATTTGGTTGGTTATTTTCGCACAAAAATACCATTAAAGAGAATAAATAAACAAATAAAAAGTCTTAAGCCATCAAGTACCAATAGTCTAGTGTTAGAATAGTATCGTGCCACTATATAGATCTTTTTTCGATTTTCATATGGTGTATTTTTTTAATTGCATAATTTTAAAAAGTCGACCAATTTCGGTTGGCGAGATTTTTTTGGGTCGAGTTTGAAATTCAATTGATCGACAGAAATTGGCTAATTTTTGCTACCAACGAGTATTGTTCGACCTACCCGATTCAATCAATTTTTGGTCGGTAATCATTCAAACAGATTACGGTCGGTCGGTTTTTTAGTCAGAAGTTATGTTTAGTAGTATAAGAAAAAATTCATTTGCAAAATGTTAACTTTTTGCTTGATCAGAAAACAATCAGTTTTGGTTTATGTTTAAATAATTACAGTACTTTATATTTTATTTTTTGGAAAAAATGCGAATGTTTGAACTTGATTTTGTTTTGGTTCTCTTGTATCTAAAGGAAAAATATATAAGATGCACACCGAACTTATCCTGAAAAATTAGTCTCCAACTCAATTTTTACGGGTGTTATTTTTCCATCCTATACTTGTCCAGACTGAATTTAATTCTTCCCTAAAAATATATAACCATTGTGGAGGGTTGTGTTCTTTACGCTCCGCCACATGTCAATTTTTAATTTATTTTATCTTTTTCAATTATTTTTTATTTTTAAATTATTTTTCAATTCCACTCCACGTCACCGTTATTTTGAAAAAGTTATTGGGTTTCCACGGAGTTATCACTATTTTCTCTCCTTCAACCATAACCATTAAAGACCATTAGGCCATCATAGCCTAAAGGAAGAAGTTCGGGCATAACAAAGATGGAGAAGAAAAACACACCAAAGCTCTTTCACTGAATATTGACCGAAAAATTATTCGGCGAACTCACCGACAAAGAAAATGAAGAGGGCTAGAAAAGAAACTCTCCAATGGTGATTTTATTTGATCTTTTGGGACGAGCTAATGAAAATGAGGTTAGAAAAATATTGAAGGCATAAGTCAGGTGGGAAAGAAAATAGTGGGATGAAGGAGGAGGGGAGATTAGGTGGTCCAGCAATGGTGGGGGTGTAGCAGGGGCTGTGTATTTTGGGTGGGAGAAGATGAGATAGAAGAAAGGATTGAGAGAAAAACAATAAATTAAAAAGAAAAAATAAGAGAAAAAAAGAGAAAAAGAAAGTGGGACCCCACAATTAATTAAGTTAAGTTAAATATATAATGTCAAATAAAAATATTATATATGTTTGATTTAGTATGTAATTAATATTCTTTTCTTAGTTCTACTCGAGTTTGGGGAGTGAAACCACCTTCTCTGCTATGTCACCAATTAGGGAGGAATTCAATTTATCGCATGTTTGGCCAAGCTGGAGAAATCAGCTTATTTTGAGAAGTGCTTTTTTCAAAAGTGCTTTTGAAAAAAGTACTTTTGGAGAGAAGCAGTTTGTGTTTGGCTAATCAGTCTGAAAAGCACTTTTGAGAAATAATTTGTGTTTGGCCAAGCTTTTTAGAAAGTGCTTTTAAGTGTCAAATTACGAATAAGGACATGAATAGATTTACTTAATAATTAATATTATAAGTAAATAAATAATATCAAAATTTTGTTATTACATGCAATAATTAAAAAAAAATCATTTTATTTAAGTAAAATATGAAAATAAAATTTAAAAGTACTTAATTCTTTTAATATAAGTTAAATATATTAAAATTCCTTCAACAAATATAAAAGCATTCACCCCTAAAGTCACTATATATTAGAAAGTTTTCCTAAAAATAAGAAGAAATATTTATAAATTAATATCCTAAGTATTAGGTTTAAGGGTTATTTTGGTATATACTATATTTTGTTAAGGGTATTTTAGGTAAGAAGAAAAGCCAAAACTGCTTCTGCTTCTGCTTTTGGAAAGAAATTACTTTTTTCTGCTTCTCTGAAACTGCTTCTGCTTCTTCCCAAAAGCACTTTTTTTTCCCAAATAAGCTTGGCCAAACACCTCAAATTAGGAAAAAAAAGTGCTTTTGGGAAAAAAAGTTTTTTTTCCCCTTGAGAAGCTTGGCCAAACAGGCTATTAGTCTGGACAAGTATAAGATGGAAAAAGAACGCCTGTAAAGGTTGAGTTGAAAACTGATTTTTCAGGACAAGTTCGGGGTGCATCTTATGTATTTCCCTTTTTTTATTACAAGATTTTTTTTTTCTTAAAAGAAAAGTATTGCCGAAACCTAGAACATCTTTTTGAGGTTCTTATATCAATAAATCAAATGAAAAACCCCCCTAATAAATATAAGAAAGCTTTTGTTCTAAAAAAAATATAACCAGAGACTTGTGTGACCATTTTATTTAAAAATAAATAAATTATTATAGACAATATAATTTCATATAATTAATCAAGTTGTGTCAACAGTCACGGCTCAAAAACACCCTTGTGGATCTCCCTTCTTTTGTTTACCATTCATTAATTCATATATTGCTTCAAGAAAATTCTTTTTAAATGCTCAACAAGTTCATTTGTTCTTGAATATGAGAGATTCATTTTAATTCAGTTGATCTATAGCCTTCAATGACTACCGAACTTTGGTTGATTAAAAAGAAATAGTTTTCTGACTTTACCGATGCATGGGTCAGTAGTAAAGAGTATAGCACTTTTTGCAATATTTGATAAGCAAATTATGTATGACTAATCTTTCTAAAAAGTACTTTTGATTGTGAAATTACAAAAAAAGACAATAAAGATTTAGTTTACATTTAGCATTACCTAAAAAAGCAAAATTTTAATATTTATTATAAAAAAACTAATTAATTTTTTTATTTATATTTAACTAAAGTATAAAACATAAAGTAATATATATTATAAAAAATTAATTAATATGAAATATAAGTCTATAAAAGTACTAATATTGGTAGGAATATATACGCTTACAAATTACGTGTATGAAAAATACTGTCAATTCGTGAGAAAACAACAAACTATGTGGTGTTGCATTATGTCAACTATATAATATGCATGCATGCCAAAAAATATTATAAAATAAAATTACAAACTGGAGATCATATAACATTGGCATACTACAAAAGAAAAAAAATTATACCTTATGAATAAAGTTCTTAAATGTAGTGATTAGCATTGCAATTCTTTTTTTTGGATATTAAAGAATTTTATTTACTAATTGTAATATGTACCGCTCAAAAAAATCAAAGTGGCAAGAGTTGGACATGAAGCCCCAACTCTGCAGCAAAGAGGCAATCTATCCATTACTAGCTCCTCAACTACTCACCCTCCTTAGGGATAAAACTAAGTTCTTCTAGTTTCCTCTGCAACCGTAGCATGTAGTGAACTTCTTGAATAACTTGTCTTATCAATGCACTTGCAGGCCTGCTCCTTTGCTGAAATAGTCTCAAGTTTCGTTCATGCCAAATACAATATACACCACATGCCAAAGTCATTCGATAGATAATTGCCCCAGTCGATCTACCTTTACTATTTTTCACAGCCCAATCGACTTCATTTTTCCATTCCCCAGAAACCCTATTAATACCTTGCCACTGCAACAACTTGTCCCAAATAGCAAAAGAATAATGACAGCTGAAGAAGACATGGTCTGCAGATTCATTCCTATCATTGCATAGAGGACACACCAGACTATCAACAGAAATCAACTGTGCCACTCTATCCTTTGTAAGGAGCCTTTTATAGATAGCCAAGTATAAAATAAAAGTCCATCTAGGAGCACCATGATTGCTGCAAATTAGTCTTCTCCATTCAACTTTTGGACAATCTCCCCTAATCTTACAGTATAACTTCTTAATGGAGAAGCTGTCCATTTGATACACATCTTGTTCTAGAATACCTACTTTCTCAAAAATAAGTTTGGCTTTTAGGATCTTTCTAATCACCCACGATGCTTGATTAGCCTGCGAGTCCCACACCCTTCTACCCTTTACATAATAAATGTGCACCCATTGTACCCACAATTTATCTTTTTTCTTGCAAAGATTCCATAGCAACTTGCAAATGGCAGCAGCATTCCATGCATGTACATCTAGTAGCCCAAGACCTCCAGCCGCTTTAGGATAGCATAATCTTTCCCAAGCAATTAGAGCTTTCCTTGACATATCAACACTGCATGTCCATAAGAATCTTTTGCATAAGGACTCAATTAATTGGACCACCTTCTTTGGAAGAACAAAAACCTGAGACCAAAATATCTGTATAGAAAATAGGACAGACTTTATGAACTGCAGCCTACCGGCATATGACAGAAAACTAAATGTCCAAGAGGTAATCTTATTCAGTATCTTGTCCAGCAATGGTTTATACTGCAACACATTAGTCCTCTTTGTGCTAAGTGGAATCCCTAGATACCTGAAAGGTAACTCTCCTTTTGTAAAACCAAGGGCCTGCAAGATAGCATTCTGATCATCTTTACACACTCCTCCAAAATAAATGGAGCTTTTGTCAGCATTTGCAACCAATCCTGAAGCTTGAGAGAATATTTGAAAGCAATTATATAACATTTGAACAGAGACAAAATTACCCCTACAGAATAACAGGAGATCGTCGGTAAAACCAAGGTGAGTAATGTTCATTCTAGCACATTTGGGACGAAAATTAAAATCACGCTGCCTCTTAAAAGTCCTCAACTGCCTGTTCAGATACTCCATGGCTAAAATAAAGAGAAAGGGAGACAAAGGGTCCCCTTGTCTTCATCCTTTCCTTGCTTGAAAGGGAGCAACAGGAACACCATTAATGATAATGGTATAAGAAACTGTTTTAATACAAACCATGACCCACTTTATAAACACCTCAGGAAAATTTAAACAGTTAAGAACTTGCTCCAAATAAGGCCATTCAATCGAGTCATATGCTTTCCTCATATCAATCTTCATCATACACCTAGGAGATATTCCTTTTCTCCCATACCCTTTGACTAATTCATGACTCATAATTATGTTATCAATGATCACCCTACCTGGCACAAAGGCAGATTGACTAGTATCTACTAGCATATCCATAACTTGTTGTAGTCGTTGAGTCAAAATTTTGGATATCAGTTTGTAAAGGATGGTGCAACATGAAATAGGTCTGAAATCAGATACTCTAGAAAGGTTCTGTACTTTGGGAATTAGAGTGATAGTGGTACAATTTATAGGTTGATACAGGTAACCTGATGAAAAGAACTCCAACGCAGCATTTGTAACTTCATCACCTATGACTGGCCAGGCTTTTTTAAAGAAATATGCATTATATCCGTCACATCCTGGTGCCTTGAGATCATCGATATCTTTAAGAGCCCGACTTACTTCATTTCTGGTAATCGGGGTAATTAGTAGAAGTTGGTGGTGCCTTTCTAGTGTCTTTCCTTCCCTCATAACTAGAGGGTTTATGGATGGAAATTGATCAGCTACGGCTCCAAGTAAACCTTTGTAGTAATTGGTTATTTCAGCATTAATCTCATCCTGCCCTTGTATTAAAATTCCATTTGCATTTATCAAACTCTTTATTCTATTCTGAGATATTCTATTCTTCATGTTTGCAAAGAAAAAAACAGTGTTAGAGTCTCCAAGTTGCAACCACTGTACTCTTGACTTCTGCCTAAATATATTTTCCTCAATGTTGTCCCATTTTTCCATTTGTTGCTTTGTCTCCCTTTCCTGGGCAAAAAATGCAGGATTATGATCATTGTTTCTCATTTGCTCCTGAAAATCTGTTAGTTTCTCCCTTAAACTCTTTATTTTGAGGTTAACCTATTTAAATGCCTGAATATTCAGCTTCTTCAGGCCCGCCTTAGCACACCTCAATTTCTGCCAAACAATGTTCATAGGATCTCCCATTGAATTTATGTGCCAAGCATCACGCACCACCCTTAGGAAGTCCTCATGATCAGCAATGCAATTGACAAATCTAAATGTCTTTGATCCTACTAAGACAATGCCCTCCATTTCAATACATAATGGTGAATGGTCAGAAAAGTTTGGATCCAAAATAATGACCTCCAGATGCAGAAACTTTATCAGCCATTCAGCATTCACTAAAGCCCTGTCTATTTTACTGAAAATATGGCTATTCATCCACGTAAACCATCACCCAATTGACTTCATTTCAGCCATCCCAGTATCCAGAAGATATTCACAGAAGTCCCTAGTCTCCACCTCTTGTACTGGACTACCACCTTGTCTATCCTCAGCTGACATAATAGTGTTAAAATCATCCATAACTGCCCAGGGTCCCTGTTGAGTGTGATATAGGGACCTCAACTCAGCCCATAGCCTTCTCCTATCATCTATGGTATGCGATCCATAAACAACTGTTAAGTTGAAAAGCAAATTAAGTTTGTGAATAGACACACTACCATGAATATACTGCTCGGACATGCTCACCATGTTATAGCAAATATAATTAGGATCCCAGAGGATCCATATTCTACCTCTACTGCTATATTGATAGTTATGACACCAACCCCAACCTCTACCAAACTTGCTAATAATTTTCGTTGCATTGTGCTCTTTAACTCTATGCTCAAGCACTGCAATTAAACATATACTATTATTCTTTAGAAACAACTTAAACTCCTTTTGCTTATAGGCCTTGTTCAAGCCTCTAACATTCCAGGATACCAGCTTCATACCGGAATAAAGAGAGGAGCTGAATCCACTGCAACCACCTCATAACTACACTTGCCTCTGTTATTATCATCCCTACAGCTTGGCAAATTAGCTTATGTTAATGGACTAAACCCATTTGCAATAGTTGTATCAACTCTTTTAGTAGGTTGTGCTCTTTTTGCAACTGATTTCCCCTTCACGGTCTTCCATTGCTCATCTTGTCCTGGCAAAGTTGAGTTGGTTTCATTCTGTTTTTGGGCATTCTTTACACCTTGCTCCCTGTTAGCAGCCAAAGAACCACCCTCATGTATGATAACAATTGTTCCAGGCCTTCTTAACCAAACTTGCTTAGGTTTAGTAGTTTTGCCTTTAGGTATTTCAGCCTTAGGCACTACAGCATTTGACACTTCAGCTTTAGATGCCTTCTGTGTTGGCTTGCAAGTATGTCCGACCTAACACATGTAGGACAGTATTCTGGAACCCAATCATATACAATATGTTGTTCAAACAATCTACCATTAGTATGCAATACCTTTATCACATTTGGTAATTCCCTAGTTACATCCATTTCAACCAAAATCCTACCATAGAAAATACGATCCACATTGGTTGTGCACTCGTCGGCATATAAAGGAAAACCCAAACCACTTCCAATCCTGCTTAGAGAGTTCATACCCCAGCAACTTAATGGTAGATTTGGCAGCTTGACCCATATTGGCACAGTTTGGAGAACTTCAGCTTGAAAATCAAAGTTAGCCGACCATAGTTTAACGATAATTAGTTTATTATTAATAGTATATGGGCCTGAGTAAAGAACTTCATCCCTATCCTCTACGCAGTTAAACCTCACAACAAAGTACCCATCGTTATGATAAAATATCTTTGGCTTCGAGGCAAAATTCCAGTGAGTAGAAATAAATCGTTCAAGTGCGCCAATAGTTCAATCAGCACCCACAACATATAATATCAAGGCCAGCTTGCATTTCTCATTTTCCCGTTCCACTTCCTCCTTGCTCAATTCAATAATCTTCTCACCATCCTACACAATCGGGGCAACAAAAATTTAGATTCATACCTCTAGCGGCCATTCGATTACCATTGAATAAATTCTTCCATTCCTTTTCCCCTACTTAGTGATGAGTTCCATTTGCTGCAACTGTCATCTCCACATTTGTTGCCGTTTCAACGGGCTTTGCAAGGTTTAATCGCCTCTGCGCCCCAAGAGATGCAGCTTCTGGTTTTGTTACATTCATCTTGGCAGCACCTTGCTGGTTAGTGACCACCGGATGTAGCACCTCGGTACTCGTCCCTTCACCTATTTTAGTAATTTCTGATCCCCTCAATATGGTTACAGCACCTGCGGAATAGGTCGGCGTTCGTAGTTCACCCAAATTGTTTGATAGTGGGGGCCAATTTTCCTTTTCAGATCCCAACTTGTCCAGTGCATCAATAGCCTCCTTTGCACCTCCACTGCGTCTGATTACTTCCATGGTCTTCTGCGCGACCACCTGAGGTTGGATCGGCTCCTTTCGCGCCCCCCCTCTTCTGCCCATTGCCGGCCTAGGCTCACAGTAGCTAAACACGCTTATCGTACGCTTTTTGACAGAAGGAAAACAGAATCGGTAGTTGCAACCACTATCTTCTTAGATCTTGGATTTTAATATGTTGAAATCTAAAATTAATATAGTGGCGGTTCAGAATGCCATTTCATCTATGGCACAACCAATTCTACAAATGCAAATATGATGACTTAGCATTGCTATTTCAAATAGTAACAGGAAGCGAAGAACAGGAGAAACAGCGAAGGAGAAAAGACAAGATGTATTTATAATAGGGAGATTATTCCAAATAGGAATAAGAAAAGAAAGAATAAAAATACGGTAAAAATAAAAAAGAGAAGAAAGGGAATAGAGATAAAAAAGTTATATTAATAAAAGATAATTTAGGAAATACTATAATTTTATGGTAAAGATATTTTTATCTTGAAAAAATAAATTTTCTGCTTGGGCCAAACAAGCTCGTATTGTGAAGGCAAAGCTAGCTGCCAGGCTTTAGAGAGGTGAACTTTTATTTTTGTTTTGAGATTTGTACATAATGTTCACTAGGTAATGAAAGTTATTTACTTACCAATAAAATAATATAAAAATAATTTTATAACTTTAATAATATAACAAGTAAAATTTAGAAATCATGCGTAAGATGTGTGCTTTCTAAATGAAGACATTCATACAAGAATAGAAAAAAAAGAATCAATCATGAAAACTATAATTCAGAAGGTGCTAACTGAAACTCTTCATCGTACCTAGAGCAGAGAATTCACAACCCAAAGACGGTTTCTTCCTTTACGGGTCGTTTGGTACGCGGACAAAATAGTACCGGAATTATAATCAATCCCAGCACTAATTTATACCACTTGAGGTATGGTATAAAATAATACCACATTTGATGGTATAAGATGGGATAGATGAGATAATAGGTGGGATTAAATTTATACCTTGTTTGGTTGGAGGTATAAATTTATCCTCGGATTAATTTATATCTCCAACCAAACAAGGTTAAATTTAATCTCACCTCTTATTCCCTCTTACCAAACGACCACTTAGTCTTTTATTTTTGTCCATAATTTATTCATCCTTTCTTTTATTATTGAAACAAGATTTTCGCCCATTATTTTACGATAGAAACCGGAAAACAAACAAAAACAATATCTGAATACTCTTTTATTAATTATTTTGCTTTCACGACTTATTACAATGTTGAAATTAGTAAAGTGTCTTTTTAGATCTTTATATATAAAAGATAGATCTCTTATGTATAACAAATCTTCCATCTGTAAATTTAAAAAATAAAAGAGAGAGAGAGAGAAATGGGGTCGTAAAATTTTAAAAAGAGATGGATTGGAGCAGAACATGAAAAGAGAACTTTTTAGGCCGTCATTCTTAAGATGAACAGTAATGAGGAAGCATTAAAGGACTTAGACTTATACATATAGGATAAGCAATGAGAGTAACCTAGAATTTGGTAGGAGACTTCAGCAACGATAAATCGAAGTAAGAATT